AACGGAGCCACTGCAAGGGGCAAGAGCGAACGCGTATTTGTCAATGAATGAAATTTCAAGACACCCCCTTTGCACACATTTGTCTCATGCCTCGCCGCTGAAATCCGTCCTCTGCTGTTTCCGCAGGAAGTAACCCGATTTCCCGCAATCAAGCGCGACAAGACATCGAGCTCCTTCGACTGGCCGGCGCGAGATGCCGAGGTAAAAGCTAATCGGGCCGTAATTCAAGATTCACTCGGCCACTCGGCAATCGATAGCCGCAAAATCCCAATTAAAGCGCGCCGGGTCAGTGGAGGGCCACCAATTCCTTTACAAGTTAAATGCAATACTTAAATCGAAGCAATCCCCCCGCGTGGCCTTCATGGGTTTAATGGCTCGTCCCGACAGGAGTGGCCCAGTTAAAAGTGCAAGAAGGACAAAGGGGGCGCGTGGCTTTTTGCAATCGATGTTGCAGCCACCGTGGAAGCGGCCATTTTTGTCAACTTTACTGCTTGTCCACAAGAGCACAAAGACATTCTGCACAAGCTTGTCTGTGAGATGGAGGTACCCGCTAAAATAAACTTTCATTATTTGATACCGTATGAAAAAAAAAGTCTTCTTTGGGAGTTTTCATCGCAAACCTTGCTGTTATTCTTATTTGTGGGAAAACTAATTCTAAGAAATATCTTCTAAATTTTCTGCCTTGAAACATAGCGTGGAACATCATATAAGCTCACCTGTTGCAAGAAAAAAAAATATTGACATTTATTTAGAATTGCACTCCAGCAAAGCAAAGAATTGTTTTGCATTAAGTCCTTGGAAAAATTCTGTTCATTCATTCCAGCTGGTACAAAAAAAACGTTTACACACCCCCATTCAATCGCGAGGCTTTTGTCCATCCATTCATCCATTTTCGAATCCGCTTATCCTCACAAGGGTCGCGGGCGTGCTGGAGCCTATCCCAGCCGTCCTCGGGCACTAGGCGGGGGACACCCTGAACTGGTTGCCAGCTAATTGAAGGGCACACGTAGACAAATGAAACATCCGCGCGCACACTCACACATAGGGACAATTTAGAGTGTTCAATCAGCCTTCCATGCATGTTTTCGGAATGTGGCAGGAAACCGGAGTACCCGGAGAAAACCCACGCAGGCATGGGGCGAACATGCAAACTCCACACAGGAAGTCCGGATCCGGACGTGCTAACCAGTCACCCATCACCGTGACATACCTTTCCCTGCCATGAATGTGACCTTTTTGAAGGGCACACGTAGACAAATGAAACATCCGCGCACACACTCACACATAGGGACAATTTAGAGTGTTCAATCAGCCTTCCATGCATGTTTTCGGAATGTGGCAGGAAACCGGAGTACCCGGAGAAAACCCACGCAGGCATGGGGCGAACATGCAAACTCCACACAGGAAGTCCGGAGCCGGACGTGCTGACCAGTCACCCATCACCGTGGCATACCTTTCCCTGCCATGAATGTGACCTTTAACCTACACGACTCTTTTTTTTTAAAAAAGACATCTTTTTCAAGAGGGGAAAAAAAAAAGAAATGAGCAACTGAGATGCTGCGGTTACACGGGCGTGCACAGTGAACAATGAGACCCCTGTGACGCTGTGGAAGTTCTCGGCGGACTGTGCTATGTGATAACAAAAATGTCAACAAAAGCCTACTAGAACATCTTGGGGTCAATCAGAGACTCATGAATGGTGGCAGGTGTGTGTTGACTCATTTTTTACATCAACTTGAATGTGATAAGTTAGTTCTGAATAGAGCCAAATTTCCATGGGTGTGCACTTTTCCGACTACTCCTATTTTAATTGAGTTGTGCAAATTAAAGCTGACAATAATGATGGAAAACATTTCGCTATAATACCACAAATACCCGGCATTTGAAAAGGGTGTGTGTAAACTTTTTATATCCACCATAGATAGCTGATGCTTTCAATCAATTGTACTATGTGACATTTGATGTTCTACCCTACTACAACATTGGGTTTTTTAATGCTTTAAAGCATGGGTGTCAAACATATGGGTCGCGGGCTGGAACCGGCCTACAAGGAGGTTCGATCTGGCCCGCAGGATAATTTAAAATTGCATTAAAGACACAGAATGAATGTTTTTAATAAAACGTAATTCATGGATTATCCGCTAGGGGGTACATTGTTTTGATCAGAGTAGAAGACAACATTGTTTTGTTCAGAGAAGAAAACAGCAGTCTCAGTCTGTCACTGAGACAGACCCAACACAGCAGATGGTATCAATGCGCCAATGCTTCTTTATACCAAAACAAAGTAAAGACATGATATTTTGGTTATTTATAGCAGAGTAGGGTATAATGTGAATGGTCCGGCCCAATTGACATCTACCGAGTCCGTATGTGGCCCACAATGTGTAATGAGTTTGACACCCCTGCTTTCAAGTGACTTATATTTTCCTTTTTTTTAGGAACCCCCCCAAAAAATCCCCCCATTTTTTAAAATCCATCTGGATACTTATAGTCATAGTCATAGTAATGCTAAAATTCTACCCTCCTATTGTTGCATTCTGTGGACATCATACTACCGTTTTTTTTTTCTCCTTTCTCAAGCTTTAACCACATTTTCCTCCCCATCACCCACAGAAGGAATTCTCACAAGATATCAAAACAAAAATCTATATTTAATATGGGGGCAATTACACTGCCAAGTTGGCTGCACGCGGCCGTTGTCAGCCAAGCGCGTGTTTTTCATCAAACAGGTCATTAGACGGTGATGGATGTAAACCTATAAAGTAGCTAAACTGGAGCTTTTAACAAAGCGCCGGCAACGCTATCATTTCTCTAATAGAACCTGCTGACCGTGTCATTCGCCGCTGCCATTTGTCATTTTTTCTACCCCCACCCCCTCCACCTCTCTGTGAAATAATCGATAACTGGCCGCTTTGAAATAAATAAAATCAAAAGTCACACTAACCTACCAGAGGAGCAGCAAAAATAGACTTATGGAGCTGGAGCAGGACGCCTGTGCGCCCAACGCCGATTCCGCATACGCCTTTCGAATCAATGCATCTGATCCAGGCCAGAATTATTTAAGACTATTCACACAGTCGACCTGATTTTAACTTTTACATGCAGCGCATTTTCTTGTGCGGGAAAGGCAAAGTCTGAAAGAAAGATGCAGGAGGAAGGGGCTTTGAAATTTGTGAATTTCGACGCCCCCTTGATTGCGATTTATTGCGATTGTTTCTTTTTTCACGGTGATCTTCCCTTAGATTTTTTTTTTCTGAAAAGAAACACAAGATTGAACCATAAATGAATCTGTATTACAATAAATAATATCAGATTTATTATATATCAAAGTTATGGTGTTTTCAGTTAGTCTCACGGTAAAACAATGGCAAATAAATGATCCACAAATTAATGTGAAAGGCAATTAATTTATTGACTTAAATTAAAGTTGTTATTTTACAGTCGTACTACACACTTTGATGTTTTTAGCAGTCACGACCACAACTTCACAAAAGTCTGCCAAACAAGTGTGGTGAAAACACAAGTCAACACAATGCAAACAAATCGGTGGCTTTATCATTTTAGCTCCTCTGAGTTTCAGGTCGCTTTCGACTAGCGTATAAATACTATATTTCAAGGTTACACCATTTGTAAAACAGGCATGCCTTTTTATTAATATTGTATAATTTGTATTGAGTTGTTCTATTTCTGACTAATGCTCCACTTTCCACGCGTCCATGCTCACAATTCATAATTCCTCTTCTCGACCCACAGAGGGCGCTGTCTCACCGCTCTTCACCAATCACCAAGTCCACTCCAGTTTTTCTTTTTCTTTTTTTTCTTTTTCTTTTTTTAAACACAAGTCAATTAATATCAATGAGCGAATATTCATAACACATCTACAGCGACGAGGCCCAATCCGACGGATGAATTAAGCACATCGATTGGAGAGGAATAAATGACCGTGTAACCTTGGATGCGGACCTCACTCTCGTAAAAAAAAAAAAAAAAATCAATGGGTGAGAAATATGAATCTAATCGGCCTTTGGTGCAACACTGTAAAGAGTGGGTGGCTACATTTTTTTCCAGTACCATCTAAATTATTTCCAGGAACATAACAAGCAACATACAGAATTTTACTTCATTCTTCTTATTTTTTTTTTGCCAATCAACTTCAGCAGTTCTAATTAATTGAAAACCTGGACTCACCCCCACTCACACATTTTTAATATGCTTAAATTTATATTTTATATTTATTTATATACTTTTTGTCTTTCATAATTTTGCTGTTGTAAATTGGGAATTTCTCCATTGTGAGACAAATAAAGATTTTCGTATCTTATCATTGCTCTTTAGCACATTAGTCACTTACTGTTTTACTGATTGAAAATACTACCTTTGAGAGGTCGGGTGTATGAACAGAAAATGTCCACTCAACAGCCACTAGACCATTAGGAACACCTGCACCATATAAAACAATACACACACACACACACACACACACACACACACACACACACACACACACACACACACACACACCTACACAGCACTTGTTTTTATTCATTCATGTATTTTTTTTTTATTTCTGTTGTATTATTCCATAAATGTACTGGATCACACTGCAAGCTGGTTCAAATATTTTGACCCCCTCTTAAGGTTACCAAAATATGAAACATTTCTCACTTCTAGAAATTTCACAATCTACGTCCACATTAACAAAGTAGCGTTACATTAACGCCTCTCTGACATGGTCAATCAGAACTGATCATCATCATTTGAGCGAAGACCAAACGGTTTGTGTCACAAGATGCTGCGGCTGTCCCTAATGAAGTGTCCAATGAGCGTTGAGCTGCATCCTTTTGGCGTTAACAGCCTGCTGCTCATTTGCTGCCTAACGGGACTTTATGAGAGCAATAACAGTCGGACACACGCGTGCGTATACGCGCACGCACGCCCAGCAGCCAAAGCGAGGAGGATGTCCTCTCTCTCTCTCGCTCTCTCTCTCGTTCTCTCTCCTCCCTCCTCAAAGTCGCTGCCTTAATCCCATTTGCCATTGTGCGAGCGCAATCGCCTGTACTTTCCGCATTTAACTTGGATGACATTTTTATTTCGTCATTAGCATCACGCGCCCGCACAGCGTCTCGCGGTTCGGCGTTCGAGCCCCGGGATGATCCATCTGTCACGCCTGCGCACGTTCCGGCTGCCCCTCCGCCGCCTTCCGTCTCTCTAGTTTTATTTCACCGCCGAGCAAAGCAAAAAAAAAAAAAAAAAAAAAACAAACAACCCAACACAAAAGAAAGAGAAACAAACAAACCGCCGCCATGCCCGAGACCACGCAGGAGGCTCCGGCCAAGGACTCGCCCTTCTTTATCAAGAACCTGCTCAACTGCGAAAGCAAGCCGCCCAGCAAGCCGAAGCCGCCTTCCCCGTCACCGGCGTTGGCGGCCCAGCGGTCGGCCCTGGAGGCTGCCGGGGGCTTCTCCCTGTCGCAGGTGGCCGACTTCGGCTTCCCTCGCTTCGAGCTGCCGGCGCAGCGCTTCACTCTGCCCGCACACTACCTGGAGCGCACCTCGGCCTGGTGGTACCCTTACGCCCTCAACTCCACCGCGCACATCCACAGAAGTGAAGGTAAGACACAGGGATGCATGGATGGATGGATAGATAGACTTCCACCAAGGTGTGTGATTGGAAATATAATACACATCAATTCGAGTGTTTGTTTTTGTTAATGTACTGCCACAATAGCTAAAGAAAATGCCAAAGTGCTTGCAAAAAAAAAAATGTTTTTCTTGCTGTATATTGTGGCTACTTGAGATTCAGGAAACCGGAAAAGGTTCAAATGAGGCGAATCTAGGTCTGTTTTTGTTAATTTTTGGGGTTGTTTTCCGAAAATATGACCCCCCCCCAAAAAAAAACTGCTTTCGAAAAACATATTTGTTTTTCTTTTTGTATATTCTGGGTAATTCAGGTCCAGGTAATCGGAAAAGGTTGAGGCAACTGCAGGATTGTTCTTGTTGGTTCTAATTATTTTTTATTTTGTTTCCCGAAAATGTTACAAAAAAATATGCGTTGGCATCCTGCTGCGTTATACGACTAATATGAATAATGATGAAAGGAGTTGTTTAGGCCCCCTGCATAATATTTAATTTTGTTCACGAATTTTGATGTCAGGGTGATTAAAATCACTGCTATATTAATTAATTGAATAAAAGTAAAGAACAATAATTTATTTGTCTCCTTCAGAACACATTTTTAAATCGAAATCAAACGATATTGCATCGCCATTTAGTGTGTATTTTGGAGTCGACCGTGTGTTTTCTCGTATATTTGTTTTTACGTCATGTGGCGAGTGATTCAAATCCATCAAAAGACGTCTTGCAAAGCGGTCGGCTCATGAAATCCACTTTTATAACATGTCAACAAAATGCAGTATCGAAAAAACTCCTGCCAAACTGCTGGCCTTAACGCCCCCTCCCCCGGTGACGTGTTTCCCTCACGCAGCCGCCGCAGAGAAGCTGACAGCCAGGGACTCGTCCCCGACGTCGGGCACGGAGCGGGACTCCCCGGAGCTGCTGCTCAAGTCCGAGCCGGAGACCAAAGACGACGACGAGGACGACGACGACGAGCGCGCGGCCAGCAAAAGCGGCGACGAGATCATCCTTGAGGAAAGCGATTCGGACGAGGCCAAGAAGGACGAGCTGGACGACTGGAAGAAGCGCGACGACGACGGCGGCGGCGGCGGCGACGGAGGAGACAAGAAGCCGTGCCGCAAGAAGAAGACCCGCACAGTGTTCTCGCGCAGCCAAGTCTTCCAGCTGGAGTCCACGTTCGACATGAAGCGCTACCTGAGCAGCTCGGAACGCGCCGGCCTGGCCGCCTCGCTTCACCTGACCGAGACCCAGGTGAAGATCTGGTTCCAGAACCGCCGCAACAAGTGGAAGCGGCAGCTGGCCGCCGAGCTGGAGGCGGCCAATTTGAGCCACGCCGCCGCGCAGAGGATCGTGCGGGTGCCCATCCTCTACCACGAGAACTCGGCGGCGGACGGCCCGGCGGCCCCCGCCAGCGTGCCCACCAGCCAGCCGCTGCTCACCTTCCCGCACCCGGGCGTCTACTACTCGCACCCCATCGTCACCTCCGTGCCGCTGCTCAGACCCGTGTGAGAGACAGAGCGAGAGAGAGAGAGAGAGAAAAAAAGAAAAAAGAAAAAAAAAAAAAACACTCTCTTTTTTTGTACTCGATGAAGAAGCG